AACCCAAACCAGCAACGTGAACGGGCGAATGAACAACAACAACAACAACAACAACAACAACAACAACAATCACCATAATAGCAGTCAGTAAAAGTCAACAAGCTAAGGAAAAATAAAAAATATCCGAAATGCCAAGGCAGTCACCTTGTGGGACACTCTCGAAGGACACTCTGGTCGGACACTGTTGTACTTCAAGTCTACAAAACGAGCGCTTCGTACGAGACCTCCTCCCAGAGTCACGCGTCAAGTCTCCAAAACGAGCATTTCGCACGAGACTTCTTCCAAAAATACTGTAATTCGTCAAGTTCTCCAAAATGTGCGCTTCGCACGAGACTTCCTCAAAAACTCACACTTGAAGTCTGCAAAACAAGCGTTTCGGACGAGACGTCCTCCAAAAGTCACGCGTCAAGTCTGCAAGACAATCGTTTCGTACGAGACTTCCTCCAAAAGTCACGCGTCGAGTCTCCAAAACGAGCGTTTCGTACGAGACTTCCTCCAAAACTCACATGTCAAAGTCTCCAAAACGAGCATTTGGTACGAGACTTCTTCCAAAAGTCAGGGAAGCCCCATCAAAGCACAGACACACATCAAGCACCCCTGCCAAGCAGCTTCGCGATTCCAGCCCCTCCAAACAACGCCCGCTCACACGCCAATCCCAATGTCACAGCGACATTCACCACCACAACTTGCAACCTCACGACTCCCTGCGCCTGCCACGAAACTTTCCGTATCCATACGTCTAACGCGAAACGGCCCGAAGGATCCTTCGATGCAACACCTGAAACGCAAATCCCAATGGCACAGCCACATCCAACACCCCAAAAGCACCACTCTCCAAACGCTAATCCCAATGTAACTGCGCGGATCTCACAAAACATTACCACACGTTTCCTCGCTATTTCACACGAATCTGACACATCACGCTTCCATGCCAAACCCTCTCCAAAACCTTCCCCCAATGGCAGCGGCCTTAGCGTCCTCATGCGGACAGCGGCGAACGGTTGCGGTCGGTTGAGGACGGTTGCGAACGCTGAGACAACGGGTCGCGAACAAGGCTACCCCCAGACCCCCAGAGTTAAACGAGAACCCTTCGGGAAAAAAGCTTAGAGCATTACTAAAGAGTGTTTTTAACAGGGTGCATAATATGAGGACAATTCCACGCCCCAGTATCTTCAATCTTCGTGCCTTGCATCCTATAATCATAATCGAGATTCTATATCAATCATTGGTCAATTGATGTCAAACGGAAGGTTTTGATTCTGTCTCACCTGGCAAAAGGGCAGCATCTCTCACCAGTGCCGGCGCATCTTGGATTTGACCGCAGGCTTCCTCCAACGTGATCCGCGGTAAAGAAACTCCACTCATCAGCTCCTTTGCACACCTCACAGGCGGCCAATCTGGATCACATGGACACCCAGTCTTCCTCGTCTCGTTCTCCCTGGTCTCGCTCCCGAAGTCCAGCCAATCGCCATCGCACACCATCGGCCACTCCGAGGCCAACAGCACCCGCCGCGTGCCGCGCTCAGCGCCCGCCGAGGCGAACCTCCCTGAGGCGCTTCCAACGACGTCAGCGGCGGTTTGCAGGGCGACCTCGCGGTTTTAAGGGCTTCCCCGCAAAATCACTCATGCCCAAAATTCAGATATTGGCTGTGTGTATGACATGTATATACAGCTCATATTCATGTGCAAGCAATGTTGATTCTTCCCCTTGGAGGTGGGGGCCTTGTGGCCTTGCTCTTTATCGCGATCATTTGTGGGATGATCATATCAGACCTGGCAGGTCCGGGTGCCATGATTTCCGGCCTGGGGCGATGGCAATGGCGGTTTTTGCAGGGCCCAAATAATGGTGTAAGCATTATGATAGTGGTCCCCAAATAGATAGGAACGGTGGTCCGATACATGTTCAGTATCGATCCACTTTTCCATCTATTTAGTTGGGGGGTTATATAAGCATTTATCGTGCATTATCGTGTATATAGGTAGATATCATACGCCCAATACTGCCAACCGTGGATGATATTGGGTAGCAATCAAGAAGCCCTTTGCAAAAATAGTTGTTTTTTTCGAAGCCTTTGCTGATCGTTACTGATTGGCTTAGCCGCTTAACCTCCCAGATCCACTCGGATTCAGATTACGGGAAAGGACCAAAGTCCAGGCTCCAGCATGAGAGCATCTCAAGCAATTGACTCGTTCCAGGCCATCATGTCACTGAGAGACATGGATTTCCCATTGGCCCATGGGCGACTGCTCCCTCACCCCATCAAGTTCCAACTCCCTCAGCCCATGGAATTCTGACTTGTTCGGAGAAAAACACAGGACAAACCAAAGGCTCGCGAGGAGGTGTTTGGCATAAGTTTGGTGGGTCATGGTTTTTCTAAGATTCTCTAAGACTTACACCACACATGGCCTACGTTCAGGCCAACAAATGAAACTCGAGGCCTGCAGTCTCAATTCATTCGTTGATCACCTGGTCCAGTCTAAGCTCTGAGGAAGCATCGACGTGCCATCTTCAACGTTTCAGACGCTTCACGAAAACACGCAGCAAGTTTGCGGAACCAAATGAACCACTTCAGGTTGCCACAATTTAGCATGATGTGAGATGTGCGGCAGTTCACAAAATACCTGTTGTCTGACTTAATTATTGAGAAGATCTGCTCTGTTCTTACCTTTGTTTCATTTCTTGGTGGTGTTTCTTTTCGGGATTCTTGAAATGCTGGTTTGATGTTTTTGTGTGCTTTTGTTTTGATTGTTTTGCTTTTGCTGTGCTGTTCTTGAAAGTGATTATTTTTGTTTGCTCTTCTTGCATGCACTTTTTCTGCACTTGTGCTGCACTTTTACTTTCACACACTCCCATAGAGATTAACTAACTGGCGGACATAAGTCTAAGTACCTTCTGAAGTCCTTTAAGCTGATGGGAGCCTTCGAAAATTAAACAATGCACAAGAAACAGCTCAAAAATAACATCTCAAATCCTTTAGAAGTCGGCCCTTTAAAGAGGTCTTAGACCTCCTCGATCATCCTGAATCCACCCTACACCGACCGACTGCCGCTTACGACCGGTGCCTCATGCGACCTACTCAGCTGCACCCAGCGCCCGACGGCTCCGCACCTCGACCGCGTCTGCCCGAGAAGCGCGGGGCCGCACCAAGGAACTCATCTTGGACAGAGCGCCCAGCTCCAAAAGCATCGCTTCGAACTGGCCTAGAGGGCCGGCCTCACAGAAACAAGCAGGCAGAAAAAGCTTCCTCACCCGGGTTTTCTTTCAGAACCCCCTCCCAAAGAAGAGTATATATAGATATATAAATAAATATTATACTTATATATTTATATACCGTAAGAAATATGCAAAAATATGCAAAAAGCTGTTCCATGCCAACGTCACGTCACGTCACCCCACGTCCCTCGCTTCAAATCCCGCACCTGCAGCGCTTCCTCCACCATCTCCCACACCCCCTCTTCGGCTCCTGAGCTCCGCAGCAGCTCACGGAGCGCGTCCACCGGCTGCTGCTGGCAGCGGAGCTGGAGTTCCGCGCGTCCGGAAACGGCCTCTTCAGGCGTCCGGAAGCGGAAGTCGAGGCGATTCCGGCGGAAGCCCGGACATTTTGGGCAGATGTCACACGGCTAAAAGAACCGGACTCGCCCAAAAAGCAACTCTGAGAAAGGGCATTAAAAGCAAAATAGTCCATTTCCATGCTTGACATGGAGTGTCAACCCCCCCAAAATCTGCCGCATCTGACTCACCTGCCCTGCCTTCGCATCTCCTTTCAGACCTCCCTGGCGTCCAACGTCGCCGCCGTAGCCGTGGCGCGTGGCAGTCGGCGGCTCAGCCCGGTGGGCGCGCGTGGACGGCTGCGCGAGGAATCCCTTCTTCATGGCAGGTGTGAAAATCTTCTGCGCGGATAGACCACGTGTAAGAGCAGTGTTCTTTTTGGAGTCGACTAATTAGGATGATACTAGGATCATCTTGGCACAATAGATTGAACTCAAGAAACGATTGAAACATCCAAGTATAGCTAAGAATTCGAATCACATCCGAAAAGGACGCCAGGACGACGAAGTTTCTATCCGAGGTCCGACGTGAGTCCTTCACCCGATCATCGCTGATAGGATCTGGGATCATTTAAAGCTTAGAGCGGTTTCAGAGGCTCGATGGCACAAACCCACCCCTACATGTCTTGAAAAGCTGGGGAGTCCATATAAACCACCGACATTGGTGATTGTGCCATCTACTCTGAAACCACTGTACCTTTATACAGTAATGAGATGTCGAGTGTTTCTATTTAGTTCCTTTTTCCTTCTATCTACAACTCCTATTTTATACTGTAGAGGGGCTGAGATATTTAAGTAGAGAAATACAGAGATTCAATCGGAACTCTTTGCTATTACGCTTTATAGCGTATATAATGATTGTGTCCACCTAATTAATTCCTTAATGTACAGCATCTTAATGTTCATGCGTTTGGATGCCAAAGACTTGCTTCAACTTCTGTGATTTGGTTTCCGCGTCGGCCTTGACTCAGCGGCTGAGCTGCATCTCCAATGAGCCGGATGCACGGCCGAACGAAATCAAGTGATATGTCGGCCTGGGTTGGCCTGAGTCGGTCCATCCCTCAGGAACGCAGTTGGACCATACAAGGAAGAAGAATGGAAAAACTCGTTGTTTCCTGCTTAGAGCCTGGCAAGAGTTTTGAACTTGCCAGCAAGAGATGCAAGAGTTTTCGAAGCAAACCAGTGTGGACATATCGACGATCTTTCTCCAAAAGGCTTCCATGGAAATGGGCCGGCGGCCAAATCCTCTCCCATGTTGTGCTCCCACCTGGCCACCTGGACCCCTCTTTTTTAATTAGGAGCTTGGCTATCTCGAAGCTCTCTTAGGAGTTGGAACCTGGCCAGCGGATCTATCCTCGCTGTCCAGACCGTTCCTCCTTTGCACCTCCCCGTTCTCCCCGGTGATCGCTGGCCCTCCCTGCGCGGTGCGAGGCACTTCTCGTCCAAGGTGCCCCGTGGCTTTGTGGTCCTCCAAGCTGGTGGGGCTCACGCCTTTGATCACCACCTGACGAGCCGAACGTTGAACGTCGAGTCCACTCCACCCACGGATGTGTTGATGTATTGTTCAAGAAGAAAGGGAAAGGTGGAGACTCCTGGATTGATCAAACCCTCCTCCCTTGGATTGGATTGTAAAGCCTCTTCATGTGGGGTCTTGAATGGGGTTGACATACAGTCAAGAGTCTACAATAGGTCAAAAGGGGTTGACGGTGTGGGCGCAGGGCGGCCCTGGTTTTCGTGGTGGTGTTCCGAGGGGAACCCCCATAAACTTTAAAGTTGGTGAAGACTGGGTTTGGGTGGAAGAAAAAGACTGGCAGGTGGGTTGGCTGCCCTTTCTGGGCAATCACTTCGGCAACGGCTTTCGTTCGACTCGTCGTTCAATGAATTAGTTTGACAGAAAATCTGTAGAAACCCCTGGCCTTCACCTCCAAAACTACGGCTTCCCTGTAGATTTTTTCCCTTAACACCAATTCTAGGAGTCTTAGCCCATAGAACATTGTTGTGCAACACTTGAAGTTGCTCCTGCCCGTGCGCAGGCTGATTTAAGGTGCCCCGTGTGCCCAGTGATTCTGCAGGCTTACAGCCGTAGATGGCACTGGCCGCCCCCATCTACGGCCCAATTCTAGGCAGGCCGGCACCCGTGGTCCAAGAAGAATGGAACTGATAAAGCTGACTAACCCGAGTCGGATCCAAAAGCCCGGCACGAGCAGCGAACTAACCTCTGCTTGAGGAAGAACTTGGTCCTAGAAGCACCCGGTGGTTCATGGTTGGGTGGGTCCTCTTTCCCAGGAAAGCAAGTCTGCCAACCCCAGGCCCCAGGCTCTCCCGACATAAGGTCAACCTTGGGGCAACCAGGTTTTGACAAGAACTCAACCAGGGGAGCCCCGGGGGTGTTCATTTAAAGGGAGGAGGGTTTATTGAGCCGCAATGAAGTGAAGTAGTAAAGATCATGTTCGCCCACAGTCCACTTCCATGTTCTCCATGAACCTCTTTCATGAGAAGTGTCAATTGCCAAGAAAACTGTTTGATTTTGGCTTCGACAGGTGGTGAAAGCTTTAAATGTAAGAGACGATTGCAGTTACTAATGAAAGTCAACCTTATCCTTTAAGGGTCCCACAGTCCCACAGTCCCCTGTCGCCTTGTATCCTAAGTCCACAGCCATATTGGGCCACGTGGAATTCGAATGTTGGTGACAAAACCCTTCGGCAGGAGGCCGAGGACCCCTCTGTCAGGTGGGGTCCGAGGAGCATGGGGAACGAGTCACGAGTCCCTCCGATCGAGCGACGTGGAGCAGTGGACTCCACGTCGTGTGAATCACTGTCCGACTCTTTCCTGAGGCTTCAATGAAGGAGGACGTTGGCACCACCTGCAACAAACTTTAAAAAAAAACTTGGTATATATACCATGGATTTACCTAATACCTGGCTCCAACACATTCCTGAAACCATCGAACATCACCAAACTGTCTCTGAAGTCGAGCGTGTGGCGCTGGTTCTCCTGAGGCTCCTGGCCCTCACTTGCGCTGGAGGCTTGTTTGGGAAGGGATTCCTGGCGAGCGATGCTGAGCGGAGGACAGCTTCGATGGACGGGCTTTCTTCCACCCGCGCTTTGCGCGGGGAAGGAATCCACCGGAATGGAGAAACCACTCCTCGCACCACGGAGAAAAGGAAACAAATATAGTGGATTGAGAGTAGATGGCACAGACCCCAAGAGGTGGTTTATATGGACCCCCATATAAAGGACATCTTGGGGTCTGTGCCATCTACTCTGAAACCACTGTAGTAGACTGTGATGAAACCACCATAGGAGTTGGACCCCTTTTGGTACTCAGCAACATCCGTTGGCTTGAAGTGCGCGACATTTGGAGAAGTGGTTGGAAAACCCCATCCAGGAGTCATGACCGGTGTAGGGTCCAGACCTCCAACCCCGCCCAGGATCCAACCCGTCCACCCAGAAGCCCCTAGTGGCGTCCTTGCTCCTAGTAGTAAGGCCAGGAGCCCCTAGTAGCTTAGTAGCTACTTGCTCCTAGTCCACCCCCCATGTGCGAAGATGCGATCCTCATCCCGCACATCTAGAACCGTCGGACACCTGTGAAAGGGGTTCTCATTGGTGGTCGGGTATCCATAAACATGTTGCTTCTTCCAGGGAATCTATCGGAGGTCTCCGTATTTTTTCTACATACCCCTATAAAGGCACATGTTGAAGCGCCACTTTCACTCCCTTGAGTAGATGTTGGGCTGGAGCGACCCAGTAGAATGAACCAACTTCCCGGAGGCGGAAGACTGCTCACTCAATTCTCATCATTCTCAACCTATGGCCAAAATGAACCAAGTCTACTGACCCTGCTTGTTGGAGAGTAGAGGTGCCCATTCTTCACTCACTTCCTACTTGGGGCCCCCAACTCCACCGCCCAGCCCCGAACGGCGCCAAACGCTGGGATCGGGCTCGCGGACAGGGCGCGCGGCGAAGAGACTCAAGACCTCCGGAGCACCCTCCAACAGACGCTGCTGCATCCGCTGCATGAAACCCTGCGGAAAGAACGACACAAGGTTGTCCCGGGCGAGTTTTTTTGCGTGGGAACCTGAGACAAGGTTTTCCGCTCATGAGAGAAGGATTCCGGATTCTTGATGGGTCTGTGCAATCTCTGGATTTCTGGAGACCAGCCTTTGGAGGCCCCCAAAAAAGCTCCACAGTGCTTCCACCCGTTCCAAGGTGAAAGATAACTCCCCTCGAGATGGAGGTATGTAGAGGTATGTAAAGGTTGTAGAGGTGTATCCCACCGGGGTCTAGTGGATGATGATGGTTCAGTTGCAAATCTTTCTCCAAACTGAGTGATCCTCATCTATGACCGACTGGTACAGGTCCTGGGAGACCCCCATGACCAATGGTTCGACTCTTGATGAATCGAATCCCCCCTGCCGGCGATTCTAAAACAATCTTCAAGCTGGGGGATGTGAGCTGAAGACACCTGTCGAACGGAGGGTGAAGACACCTGTCGACATGAGCGAACTCAGAACTCCGGCCCCCCCGGCCGAAGTCAAAAGCACCAACCCGACCGGGGACCGACGTCCACGACCTCGATCGAGTCCACCGCGTGTCGGTCCTGGGTGGTGTGGTGGATGATGGTGGATGGGTCTGGACTTGGTCGAAGACGACTTGGGTCGATGGATCAACCGACTTGAAGCTACACACAGATTCATAGTAAGAAGATGTAACACGTAGAGGAGGAGGATATAGGAGGAGGAGGAGGAGAAGGAGGAGGAGGAGGAGGAGCAGCGGTAGCTTGCTCCATTCAGGTAGGGCTTATGTCTTTCGCGTTCGGGCTTTTATGCGTTTTATGCATCCCAAATCAACACCAGCCAGGCGTGTGAAACCCATGCCCTGCACCCGGAGTGCAGACCGGTGAAACCTCGTCCCATCCAGTTTTTCATGGATCGTCCGACGTGGATCGCCTCTGGAGTGTAGCAGTAAGGATTGTGATCGTTGATGCAGTAGGCGCTGCACAGGTCACTCTTGCCTCACCGAGGGCGCGGAGGAAGTAGGGAACCCCAAGCGTGTGAACGCATTCTCTCTCAGCCCAGGGGGGGATAGGCGATAGGGATACGATCACCATGGGCGAAGCAGCAGCATGTTCAGCCCCATCGCACGTGAGTGACCGATCGGGTCGGTCGGTAGGAGCCAACACTGGTTGGTGGCCTCAACTCACTTGGTCAGTGTGTCAGTGGGCTCAATCCCCAAGAAAAGGTTGAACAATGTTGAACATAGACGTCTCTGAAACCACCACAGAATAGCAAATGCCTCTGTAGCCCAATAGCACTGGCTGGCTGCTTGGCTCCAAAACCGCTTGGCCACAAACCGGTGGTGTGTGTGGGCGGCGGAGACACCCAACCCCAAACCGAACCTCTCGGCCAACCGAAAACGACCCGCGCTTCGGGGCGCTGGTCCTCCGAGGCGCTGGTCATCTCGAAGGGATAGAACACCCGATGATCCAAGCGAGGATGGTGGGGCGCCAAGAAGGTGCACGGCGGGCTGGAGGCCTGCCCATCTTCCCGCTCCCGGGGGACGGGCGGTGACGAGCTCTGAGTCCTCAAAGTCCAAGCTGAGTTGAACATGTGACCGAATGGGGAAATTCCTCTACTAGGACCCACAGGGGGTGGTTCATGGACACCACTTAACCTCTAAGGGGCTATCAATAGACACCCCTTAGATCCCCTTAGGGTGTCCTGGTACTTCAGTGGGGCCACTCCGATCGTTTTTGGATCTTTTTACTTTAGAGGGTCAGACCCTCCGCCTTCCGCTCCTCTTCTTCTTCTCCTTCTTCTGCTTCCTTCTTTCAAAGCACTCCCCAACAATCCAAGCGTAAAAGGGAGTCAGTTGGTATGTCTTAGGAGCATACTGAACACACTATGTTCTCCACTCCGACCAAGGAGTCTACGCTTCTTTCCATCACGCTTTGCAGCCAAAAAGGTGAGGGGATGATAAGCAGATCGAAAACATAAACAGATTGAAATGCAACAAGTTAAAACGAAAAGTAAATGACATAGAGAAAGCTGCCTTGTGGGGCTGGTACTTGTAGGGGTACATCTTCCAAGTGGAGCCTGAGCCAGTCTGCCAGTCAGTAAGTGGCAGAACTCTGCAGTGGGCACTGATTCAGTGGGGCAACACCAGGAGTGGTGAGTCCATCCGGGTCGAATACAAAAAGTGTTTGGTGTGACTTGGGGTGGGGCAACACTAGCAGTTGGCATGACACCTGGAGGGACAAATGATGGCACCGAGTTCGAACCGGCCAAGTCCTGGTTCAAAACAACTCTGAGCATCCATCATCGATCAGTGTCTAGTCTATTCGTGGCCTCCCAATGCCTGATGTCGGGCACCTGCAAGAACTTACGCAAGCAGCTACCAACAGAGGTCGAATGACCCCTGTTGGACTATCCCAAGAACCGGATTTCCCAGATTACAGGTCCTAGTTCAGGTCTGCCATGACCAACACAGTAGGGTCCTAGTTCAGATCACAAGGAGTGCGGACGGTCATGGGACCCGCCTGTGATCGACATCCGTCTGCATCGAGGTGGGCGTCCACCGGGTCTGGTGGCCCACCCACTTCGTTCGGTGACCCAATCGGTTCTTTAACCAGTTCTTTCACCGGTTAATACCATATTGGGATATACCATATTGTAATATACCATATGGTATACCCAATATGACCCAAAAGAATGTATATTTATATACCCATATTGTCATATACCTGGACCCTCCAGTTTGGAAGCCTAGGCTGGTAGTGTGGGGTAGTCCAGCCTGGACACCCCGACAGGAGGGTCCAGGTATACATATTATTGTAATATAGTGAATATGTGTGTGTTATAGTAGACTTTCAAACCTGTTTTCATTGACATCTGCGGTCCAAACGGTCGGAATCGAAAGAAAGAACCGGTGTAACCGGTGTCCCACAGCTCGTTTCGTGTGAACCCCGCATGCGTTGGGCCTACTTGAGAGAGGAGGGGAGTGAACGAAAGGTAGCAGGGAATCAGGCGTAATCCGGGAGGAGGTGAGAGGCCCCCCACTTGTTTGAAGAGAAGTGAGTGAGCGCGATGAAAGAAAAACTAATGCACAAACGCTTGACAAAACCTCCAGAAGCTGTAGCGGTCTAGCGGTTTCAATACAGGTTGACGTGCCTTCAAAAGGAGTCACAATGCTTGCAAACAGGACGTGCTCAAAAACACTCGTATTTACGAGGTTTCGTTGCCGTTGATCCACAGCCGCGGCAAGGTCTAAGGCCACTCTTGAAGACAGGAGGAGCTGAAAACACTTGTATTTACGGTATTTTGTAGCCGTCGATCCAAAGGCGCACCACGGTTGAGCGCTGGAAAAGCGCAGAAAACCGTGTAAATACCGGCGTTTTCTGCCGGGAAGGTGCACAAAACCCTGTAAATACCATAGTTTTGTGCAATTTTGAAGCCTCCAAAAGCCTCAAAAACCCTTTCTGACAAAATCTTTCCTGGTTTTTGGTCTTTTTTCGGTCAATTTTCTAACCGAGACGCATCAAAAACCATCGGTTTTTGCGGTGTTTTTTGCCGGACAGCCACAAAAAACGCTGTAAATTCCATGATTCTTTGTCACTGCTGAGGACTGAAAGAGCTGAAAACACTGATATTTACAGTGTTTTCGAACGGTTGACCCCGAGGCGCGCTAGGGTGGAGTTGAAAGCAGCAAACGAAGATGTCGGGGACCATTTCTCCGAGAGATAGGCTGCAGCTCTGGGTTAATACATTTTTGCTAAAGCAAAAGGAAAACTCAGGTAGCGTAACCGCTACCTTTCGTGATAGGGAGGGTTTGGTTGTCGACAGATCGCATGTTGAGCAAAAATCCAAAATGCAAATGTGGGTTTTATCGAAACTCGGAATCACAACTGTAAAATAGCATTTTTTGGATGTCCTACTATCTACATCTATCTACTGTAGCTATTGTTGGATTTTCCCACTCGAGGCGCGTTTTCCTAGCTTGCGCGGTGCACTGGCAGCAAACCGATCTGTTTGACCGACATCCCGGACACAAAACTGTGGATTTCAACGAAGGGCTGAAAAAACAACGGCACAAATTGATTCCTTTTTATCGTCGGTCAATCGAAACTTGACATATCGTCGCGGTTCAAACGGTAAGAATCATTATTGTTGTTAGCGCTGTGCTCGAGTCCCTAAACCAAAAGGCGCGGTAAAAACAGTAGTATAACTGATTTGCTCTACCAAATTAAAGCCGCGTCAAAAAGTGAAAAACTATAATTTTGCCGGGTCTTTGGCCCAAGGCGCGGCACAAAAAAATAATCTGCTTGTCTCTGTGGGGGCACAAGCCCGTACACCTTTAGCAAAAGCAACGCATGCGACCTCTTTTTTCGCCATGCCCCCAGCTAGTCCAGAGCGCCATTGTTCATACACCGGCACTGTCTGGCCGCTACGACCTCTATGACTGTCTGGTGCAGCGCTATCAACGACCGACACACTGTCTGAGGAGCCCCAGCACTCTCCCCGCATGTTGGAGAGGACACCACGCACTCTGACCCGACCCGGTGTCGCCAGAGGTCGAGTCGAGGAAACGACGATGTTGCCGCATGTTGCATGTGGCTTGTGTGAAGGTGGTAACATAGATAAGGTGATCAGGATTGATAAGGTGATCATGTTCTCCACATGGTTGTCTGGTTCATAGCACCTGAAAAGAAATGTCAACCTCTTGCATTGCATAACAAGTGGAGGATCTCTCCCGACACCGGTGCGTCCGGTGCACCATCTCTTCGCATCTCGCATCACGGCCATCCACCGTTTCTTCGGTCGATCCCTGCGTCGGATCAGCCCTGCGTGGAACCTGGAGATGCCTTGGGACTTGGCCGCCTCACATCGGGACGAACATTCGTTGGACCGCGCTGGACGAACTGACCTTCTGAAGACCGATTCTGGACGAACACGGCTTTGGTCCCAAGCATTCTGCCTCAAAAAATAGGTTCTGAGATGCTTTTTGTTTCGAGCACCCAGGTGCCATGTACAAGCTGAGTTGGCTTAGCCACACTCAACAGGAGATGCTGCGTGGGCCATGCTGAAGTGTTTGGTGAAAACCTCGGAATGCTTTAAGCTATATAAGTCACCACAAAGCGTATAACAAATGAGCAAGCCACATGGCTGCAGGTCAAAGCTCCGCGATGACAACCTTCCAGGGATGCCAACCTTCCATGGTTTGTGGGGCGCTGCGCTTGCGGACACTTTCCCATGGCGTATTATAGGGCCCGGTTTTGGCCCACACCCCAATGACATTGATGCCCAAGCAGGGCTGGTGACGTCTGAGTCGTTTCTGCTGCGTCGTCTGGAACCCCGCAAGTCCTGTCTTGACTGGCTGGAGAACGCGCCGGCAGAATCTACGGAGTATGACGGAATCTACCATGGTATGTTAGCTCTCTAATGTTGACCCGTTGATGCTTGAAAACCAACACCAAATGGTCCAAATGGTTTTACATCTTCATTTGGAGGGTCCCTTCCTTCATCCACCTCCTCTTATCCGGCGTCAGCATGGTTCAGTTGCTTCACTGTCCGACCGCCCTTGCCCTCTCGACCCACCGAAGCGGTTTGGTGTGGGGCACCTGGGTCCGCACCGGCCCGGTCCGGCAACGCCGCGGACCCGCGTTGTCTCGGACTTGTCGTGTGGGGTATCAAGGGCGTGGTGGCGTCGAACAACTCGAGAGGGTCCTCCAAGCGATCCTGAAATCGCCCAATCCAACAAACGTGGAAGTCAAAGGCATAGCCGACATGGCATTGTTGAAGTTGATTCACTGCCATTTTGGGGGAAGTGTGAGGCCACCTCTGATGTCCACTTCTCTACATCTTTAATGCCAGGCCCGCGCACTCATCCAGCTCAGCCGCACGTCTGTGCATTGCACTGCTTTGCGCGTCCGCTGATGATGTTGCGATGCAACGATGCATCGACTGAGTGGACACCAACATAAATCAATGAAAACTATGGTAACAACATGGTAACAACAGGGTTGTGCATTAAAATAGGGAGACCTCCCAGTTCCATCCCCTGGAAGAAGGCAAGTAGACACAAACTCATTGGTTGGAGGTCTTCCATGGTCTTCCTATTAAATTACACGCCCAACCAGTCAACCAGGGGACCCGCAGGGGCGCTCGTTCAGGGGGAGGAGGGATTTTTTTTGACCCGCAATGAAGTAAAGTAGTAAAGGAGCTTGCTGGCAGCGTGAAACATCTCCAACGATCCTCCCTCAGGCCTTTTTCATGAGAAGTGTCAATTGCCAAGAAACAATTTGACATACGATCCCCTGCCAGAGTCGCGTGGGCACAATTTCTGAAGACTGTTTTAAGTGTTAAGCATTTCGCCGCAAAGAAAAGAATGAAAAAGGTAGCTACAATTCCTCAAAGAGATCTTCGGGCCTTCATTAACTTGATACCCCCGCCTCCTTGGCCCCTCCTAGGCAAAAGCTAGTTATATAGGCTCCTTCTGGCATGCAGCCCAGTATAGCCTCTACGGCCTGTGTGCTTCGCCCTCCTGAAGAGGTACGGGCGCGCAAATGCCGCCACTCTTCCGTGCACTGTTGCTTGGCCCATGGGGGCTCTGCATCGGACATTCCGTTAAAACAGCTATGCTGCCCGTTCTCGAGCTGAAACTGGAACCCACTTCCCGAAGGAAGTGTGGAAGCTTCTGATTAGAAGCTTCAATAGGAACCTGTTCGTCTCAAACAATGCAAGCATATTGTCCATCCAAATCAGCAGAATTGAAGATGTTCAATCAGCTTTGCACACCGACCTGCGACACACTTAAAGGGCATCTTAGGTCAGCTGGCCGTTCTTCAGCCCGGCCACATGTGGCCTTCTTTGCTGTCCCAGTCCAACCCTCTCAGAGCGTGAGGGGCCCCTCAATCAGCATCTAGTCCCTCTGTTCGCTGCGAAAGGCTTCACACAGAAAGACATCAACAAGTAAGACCACTTACAAAGCCCTCTGAATGTTTTCCTTCACCCAGTGTTGGGGATGCCTCCCCACTCAGTCCAAGAGAAGTTTTTGTCCCACATCACTGATCACCACCCTGAGTACGGCATGAACACTC